CCAAAACGACGTCGTTTTGGAATTTTTTTTTTCTTTCTTTTCTTTTTTCTTTCGTTTTGGAATTTTTTCTTTCGAAGATGAAAAGAAAACAGAAGTAGAAGTAGAAAAAAAGAAGAAGAAGAAGAAGATCCAGTAGCCAACATCTTCATCAACAGCCAAAATCTTCATCAACATCTTCAGATCATCAACAGCCAACATCTTCATCAACATCATCAACATCTTCATTTTCACCAAGATCCAGTAGAAAAAAAAAAAATATATATATATCAACAACATCTTCATCATCATCACCAAAAAAAAAAAAAAGATTCAGATCATCAGCCCAAAAAAAAAAAAAAAAAAAGTCTACTGGAAAGGGGACCGCCATCACCGCCGATCACCGACCGCCATCACCGAGAGAGAGACCGCCATCAACGCTGATCTTCCTTCTCCTCTTCTCTCTTCCTCTTCTCTTCTTTCCCCCCTCGTCTCTTCCTCTGTATTTGAATGCACAAAGAAAGAAAGAAAAAAAAAAAAAAAAAAAAAAAAAACCCAAAACAACGTCGTTTTGGGTTTCAAGCCAATTTCGAGCCAAGGATTTCGAGCCCTCAAACAATTTTCTTTGAAAAAATGAGAAAAAATTAGTGAAACATCTCTCTATAATTTTGTATAATAGGAAAAGTCCAAGATTTTTTTTTTTTATTAGATAAGATAGCTCTCAATGAAATTTCTTTTTTATCATATAAGAGAAATTTCAAAATTTTTCTGTGAAGTCAGAAAAACATTTCTGTGAAAATTAAAATTTCTCTGTGTTGGGACTAAAATTTTTCTGAGTTGATTTTTTTATGTGAAAATGTTGAAAGACCCCAATTACTATGAAAATATTGTATGTCCTTTATCTTATAAAGGGGTTGTTTGGGATGTCCTAAATAAGTGCACTTTTTGACTTTTTATGAAATATAGGTTGGGTATGGGTTGTGTTTGAAATGATGTAATAGAGAGGTGATGTAACTTAAATAAGATAATGTGACTTAAATAGGATAGTAACTTTTTGACTTTTTGAATTTTTTTGAGGATGCCAAACTTGACCTTAATATCAAGAATTTAAAAAAAAAATTCTCCTAAAATCACTATTCAGTCTATTTAAAAAAAATAATTACAAATTCATTATAAAACTTATAATTTTAATTAGGGAGCTTTTTTGATAAATCCATTTTCTAAGGGCTTTATTCCATCCAACCCATATTCTTTTTGACTATTCCATTAGGTCCAATTTGAGATAAGAAGACCAAAATACCCTTTTCATCTACTTATGTTCCATTTAGTTCACATTATTTTCTTATGTTTCAATAAGTCCTATGGGTGACAAAATTACCAAAATACCCTTAATGTGAATGTTCACACCGTCAATATAAATGTTTATATCGTCAATGTGTAGGGACTCGGCTCATGTCGATCCTCGTGGGTGCCCAGAAAAATTCGAGTCGGGCCGGGCCGGCCCACAAGCCAAAAAAATAGGTTCGACCCGACCCGTTGATAATATGAATATTCACATTGACAAATTAACATTCACATTGATAGGAGTGTAAAATTGGCCTGCGGCCCTAAATTTCATCACCTATTATTTTTATTTTTTTTATTATATGTGACAAAATTTATAAATTC